ATTTCATCGAATTTCAAGATAGTTAAATTTTTTACATTTTATGAGGCAATCGAGTCTCGGGTGACCCAAAAACGGGAATTTCATAAAATTTCAAAAGTTGAAAAATAATTTAAGACAAATTAAAATAAAAAACATATTTTAAACTTGAATCGAGTCGAAATTAAATTGTTTCGGGACGAAAACAGACCCGGGAAAAAGAGGTTGTGTGGCACAATGCGAGCCAAGTAAATGGAGGGTATAAAAAGGGGGAAATCTGATTTCTTTCACACCCATTCTTCAGCTGATTAACATGAGAGGGGAAGAGAGGGAAAAAGAAGGAGTTCCCCACTTCTCTCTATAATCTACAAGGTTACGGTGCTCAAATTCACTCGATGCAAGAACAAAAGTCGGTCTCCTCGTCGAGGGCTACATAACCACACCAAAAATGAGGGATTTCATCGAAGTTTCAAAACCAAGCTTGGTGGAATCAAGGGCTTGGGGCGAGAATTTAAGTCTTGAGGGCTTCTACCAAGTGGGTTTATGCTTCAAGAGGTGGGGTTCCTTCCTATTTGANTTGGGGCGAGAATTTAAGTCTTGAGGGCTTCTACCAAGTGGGTTTATGCTTCAAGAGGTAGGGTTCCTTCCTATTTAAGTTTATTTTACAACCTAGAATGTTATATGTAATGGGTAGATGGATAGCTATATATATCACTTGTCTATGGTTGTGAAATTGATGGAATTGGGTGATTGGTGAATTGAGTATGTGAATTTGACCTAAATTAAGAAAAATTTCTAGATTAAAATTGGTGGGTTGCAATTATTGTGAAATTCTATGGAAAATGGGTGTTATGTGGACATGCTCTATGTTTTATATCATGCTTGTGAATGAGGTGGAAATTCTTGTGTGATAACATGAATTTTTGTTTTGATGGTGTTTGCCAAATGCCTATGTCTGAATTAAGTTGTTATGACATAATGATGCATAACATGCTTATAAAAATGTATTGGAAAGAAATGTTAATATGTGCTCATTGAGATATTGACATTGTGATGACTTATGAAATTTATATGCTTATGATATAAATTTTCATGGAACATGTAGACATGTGGTTTAAAATTGCTCATATGACATATATTGCATGTGGCATAATAATGGAATGACAATGATGCATTACATTGCATATGCACATAGACATCACAATTTATGGGTGTGGGTGCATGGTTGATATCAAACACCACACTACGTAGGTGAATGATGGGTGGGCTCAGAAAAGTTGGATTGAATGTCTGACTGAGTCACATAGTTGTATGAAAAAGACTTGGGTCAGGGTAGCAAGAAGGGTTAGACTATCCCTCGGGTAAGAGACCCGGTATTTGGATATTTCCGTTGGTATGAGAGCCCATAAAGTGTGCCGGTGTACGCGGAACCGTTGGTGGAAGTCTATAAATTCCATGTCGGTTGGGTGACCATTGGTGTAAGTCCATAAATACCCACCCCAAGAAAAACTCAGAGATTTTAGTTAGCCATTGGGTGTGTAACACAAATAGCAGGGGGCTTGGAGAGCTCGATTTTGATACTCACTGCATAGCATAGGGTGAAAGTAGATAGCCGAAGCTAGAAAAACTCGGTGTTAATACACATTGGCATGACATGTGTTGAGAAGTCGGGAAGGGCTTGGGTAAATTGCATGAATGAGCATCATCGCATTTCATGGCATGGTATGAGAGATTTCAACCTTGCCTTGCCTAAGTGTTGGTTGGAATGATTGTTGTTGTTAAATGTTACATGTGAACATTGCATATGCATTTAGGTTGAGAAGTAGCCCTTGTAGAAAATACTCTACTGGACGTTGGTTCACCCTATACGGGAACACATTTCAGGTGCGGGGTTCGTACCGGTGGAGGACTCAAATTCGAGGCCTCAAAGATGAAAAAAAGCTGGTTTGTGGCTTTTGGAAACAAGTTTTGTAAAAACATTGGTTAAATGTCGTTTTGATATGTAAATTATGTAAAAACATGTAATAGAACTTGTATGATTCATGTATAGTGTAGAAAATGTTATTATACATGTTTGTGATGAATTTGGAAGGGTTTTGATTGAATTGGAATTCGAAAACTGATGAAATATGAAATTCTGGACAAAGTGTACCGGTACTGCGTCCCGGTTCAGTCTGCCCAGAAGGAAAAGCGTACCGGTACTGCGTATCTGTCCAAAAGGCAAACCGTACAGGTAGACAATACCGGTACTGTCTACTAAAATCTGAAATTTTTAAATTATTTTGCCACACTTTTGGGCTTTGTTTTTCTTGGTTTCAATGATACAAATGGACATTAAATGAAGTCTATTGAGGCTTATTAGACCTCCGTTGAATTAAATGATTAAAGGAACACCGGTTATATGTGTTAGCTATGATCCCGGCTACTGGGATGTGATTGATGTCGAGCCACGCGACATTAACAGATATTTTCGCGAGTTGACGAATAGTCAACGGGACTCCCGATTTTAGGGGCGTCACATTTCTCATCAGCATATGTGGTGGTCCTTCTGGTTGTTTATTCATTTTTGAAGTTAGGGTTTTCCTCTGCTTGCGAAGCTTTATGTGATTGTATACTTTTTTCTCCAGCAAGATGTGTGATTTTTAATTAGACAGTTTGTACCATGTCCATTGTTGATGTATCACATTTATTAACCTCATTAAACTTAAAAGTGCTTGATATTTACTATCCCCCTTCTCTTTTCAATTGACCTTTTTCTTTCCTGCAACTGTAACAGTTCAGGATTCTATACAGTTGTAGATTCATGTTGGAGAAGGATGAGGAGGAAATGCTTGTAATGGTGACAAATAGAATGAGTGAATGTGATCATAATTTGCAGCCAGAGATTCAATTGAAGACATATTACATTGACCAACTGCAACAAATTTGAAATAACACTTCATTACCACTTTGCACTTCCACTAGGGATTGTAATATTGGAAACTTGAAACCATGACCAACTAGGGTCTACCAGGCTCAGCAATATGGTCCATTCTGCATCCTAATTCATGTTTTCTTTGACTCTTTTGGTTAAACCGTAAGGTGTCTTTGGGCTAACTTATGCGAATTTTAACTAATCATCTTCTCAGTTTGGTCAAAGACACATGATTAGAGTATTTATAATCCTTCATAGCCTGGTTCCAAGAGATTGTCAAAATTTAAATTTAGGATGTTTTAGTTTATAACTCATTTATGTTACCACTAGCAATACATCACGNCCAAAATTTAAATTTATGATGTTTTAGTTTATAACTCATTTATGTTACCACTAGCAATACATCACGTGCGTTGTACGTGAATAATTTTCGTACATAAAAATTGATATAATATATTAGTATATGTGTATTTANTCAAAATTTAAATTTAGGATGTTTTAGTTTATAACTCATTTATGTTACCACTAGCAATACATCACGTGCGTTGCACGTGAATAATTTTCGTACATAAAAATTGATATAATATATTAGTATATGTGTATTTAAATTAAATATTATGTCAAATTTATCAGACTTAATTTTTCATTACTCATATTCTATTATAGGATTATGAAATTTGTTATATTTTTTAAATTCGTTATTCTAACTATAAGAAAAAAAATAATTAAAGTTATATATATATATATATATTTAGAATTTTTAAATTGAGAGTGAATTTTTTAGTATTGTTTGAGAAATTAAATTTTTTAAAATTCATTCGATTACGATTTCACNGAAATTCGTTATTCTAAATATAAGAAAAAAAATAATTAAAGTTATACATATATTTTTTAGAATTTTTAAATTGAGAGTGATTTTTTTAGTATTGTTTGAGAAATTAAATTTTTTAAAATTCATTCGATTACGATTTCACTCATAATCCCTTGAAAAAAATAAAAGTAATTTTCAATATCCTATTTAATTATATTGAAAATTTACTGTAATTAAGAATTATTTATGTCAATTAGGATAAGATTTAATATAATACTCTATAATATATATTTTAAAACATATCAAATTTTAAAAAATTCAAGTTTTACTGAAGAATACACTACAAACTTAAAAAATTTATTGTAAACTAAAAAATTATATTGATATAGCATAAATTAAATTTAAAAAATTTTATATATATATATATATATAATTATTTTTTATTTTAGAAATAAAAGGGTTAAAATTTTTAAATAAAAAAATAAACACATATGCGGATAATATTATATTTGCATATGAAATGAGTAGTATTAGATTGATGAAAATTTTGAAAGTTTTTTGAACACTTTATTGAAAGTATAATATTGCATATTTTTTAAATATAACATAGTCAATCAAAAAATTTCATAGAAATTAATATTTATATAGAGAGAATAAATAATTAAAAGAGATGTTAGCAGTAATTTAGATATTTATAATTGTGAAAGGATAGAGTGGTCTTTATAACTTTTTATAAGAGTAAAATAGATAATTAAATTTTTTTTTATATTAAGATACTTTTATTAGTATTATAAATATAAATATAGATTTGAATTACCATTTGAGATTTCTTAATTCATGTTTTCATACAATATTTCTTGTACCTTATTTGAGGATGTAATTTGAAAACCTAATATATTATGATAATTGGACCGATAATGTGTTAAATTTAATACTAGAACCCACAATAGTCTAATGATCACAAATTATTAGGTCTATAAATAGATTTCAATATCATTGTTTAAACACATGTCAACACGACACCAATTTATTGAGTAATAACATATTGAATTAGTGTTAAACACAAAATTCTCGACTTGACATGATAAAAATTCATCTAAAAATAATTTTTTTTTCTATTGCTTAAATAAAATTAGAAGAATTTTTACTTAATTTAAATGGTTGAGAGAAAAAAAGTGTTTTAGAGTTGTGTTTTTGGTTTATACGTCATTATGGGGATCAATTCGAATACAAAAAACGAATACGACGTCGTAACTCTATGAGGAACTCATATAACCAGTCGCACTACGCTTAGTTGAAACCAGAATAAAGAGGAAGAGAGAGGCGATGGAAATTGTATGGCAAACTCCGGCGAACCCACCGGAGCGCCACGATTATATCTTCCGAAACGGTTAAAAAAAAAAAAAAGGAACTCAGAATTCCCACTGAATAATAAGATCTTCCTAACATTTGTATAATTTCTTGCAATTTTTCATTGTCAATGATCAAGTTTTCGAATTGTTTTGCAGGTATACGCTATGTGAGACCCTACTACTTCGAGTTCATTTGTCATGTATGTATTGTCTCGGTCTCTCTCTAACTTTAACTAATCCGTTTTTCTCTGTTTTTCATTCGCTCATTGGATCCTATATAAAATCCTGAAAGATTTCTAGTTAAAACCCTCATGAAACCCTAATTGCGTTTAGAAGCTCTGATTATTGTTGTTAAATTTGAGCACAGGTGAAGAATCGGTGGGCGGGGAAGACCATTGTTGATATGTTCGCTGAAGAATTTAAAGGCCGACCTCGTGATTACTATGTAAGTTGCTATATTATGTTAATATATGTATATAATATGCTGATTTAGCTTTTTCAGTAGCGAATGGATATTTAATTCACTACATTTTTCAGTAGTATATGGGTACAACTCACCTCATCAAAGCACATATCCCTCAGCTATTTTTTGTAGTATTATGAGTATGTAAGATAAATTTGTGAGGTGGTTGGCAAATTGACTCTATGAGAAGCCTCTCAATTTTTTGTCTGAGAATGGTGTATGTCTGACTTGTTTGTATGGATGTTCATGTGGTCTTTTAAATGGCTTTGGAAGCAACAAACTAGGTCGGGTGGTATATAACATAACGTGTTGAAAACTGTAGGTTTCGGCTGTTAAATGTGGGCGGATACAAGTTGATGGACAGAAAGTGCATGTTTCATACATAGTTCAGCCATCGCAAAAAATAAGCCATTTCTTGCACAGGTTTGTTGTGTATGATGTCATGCTTAGAGCAATTTAATTTTTTGAAAATTTATTACAGGGTTATGTGGTCTCAACTGAATATCGTAATTTGACATTTCAATTTGTATGTTTTCCCGCCCTTGTTTCTATGGATATTATATTTTTTTTCTACTGTTGAAGTTATTAAGCTGGTAAATGATACACCAAAGGGTGCAGGCATGAACCACCTGTGATGGCGCGGGATGTCGCTGTTCTCCATGAAGAAGCAGATGTGCTAACTGTATGTAAGCCTGCTTCTGTTCCGGTAAGTCTGCTGTTGGATGTGCGCTTCTGCTATTTGTTTGGTTTTCATTACATATGTACCATATTTTCTTTGCTTGCAGTATTCCAATTTACATTTCAGTTGAAAATATGGTTGTGTCGAGGCATGATAGTGAGACATATTCATGAACTCATATTCTTTTTCATGCTACAATATACTCCATAAGGGAGGATTGTGCTCCTTTGTACTAGTGGTATGTTAACATAACCTCTTGAGTGTTGTACATCTTGTAAATAGTTTATTGCAGTTTTTTAGTGGATTTTATAAGTGAACATATCCATAATTTTATGCATGTCATTTGTTGGAGATATCCATAACACATCCACCTTGATTGTTTATTTTTTGAGGACCTATACACTTTGCACACATGCACGATGTATTGAAAGGGGACGTTGTGAACATAGGGAAAGCTCGATCGAAGAGATTTGAGATGTGACATTTAAAGTTATGAAATTGATTGGTTTCATCCATCTAACTTAAGACTTAAGAGTGAACAATACATGTGGTTCACCTAGCGGATGCTCATGGAAAATACACTAGAAAAAATTATCTTCCCACACTTTTGGTGGCTATAGCCACAAGCTTAAGTTTTTATCCTCTTTGGGCTTACTGATGTGGAGTTGGTATCAGTTCTCCTGTAGAGTTTTTGGCCTTGGTATTGAACCCATATCTTTTTTTCTGTTCCGTGGATTCTTTTTTCAGGCTTCTCTTGTGTGTGCCACTTATACATGGGCTATTCCCATCTTTTGTGCTTCTACATGAGTTTCACTTATCCTAAAAATGATCTTGGTATGTGTACCACGACAACAGAAGCATCTTTCTTATGGCTAATCTAGATCTTGCCATTTGGAGGCATGATTGGTGATCAGTTTTGACATTTTGGAGAGGAGATTAGGAATGAGTCAACCATGACCTGTTTTCTGATTTTGACATTCTTCCAGGATTGATTTGTTCGGGAGATTTATTCGAGGAAGTTGGCATGCTTGACTGTTGCCCTCGTGGCTTTGTATAGATAGTTACCTACATGATCTATGGCCTTGTGATATTTATTTGAATATCCTAATCTTATGAAATTTCTTTGTGAATGCATGACAATATTTCATGTGTCCGAAAGTATCTGACTAATCGCATTGCATGGTCTGAGTACATCTTTGTTTTGTTGGAGCTTAATTTTCTAGTTTCTAGTCATGCAGGTGCATCCATGTGGACAATATCGTAAGAACACAGTTGTTGGCATCCTTCAGGCGGAGCATGGCTTGGCACCTTTATTTCGTATCCGGCTTTTCTTTGGCAGCAATGATCTGTTAGATAGTATATTTGATATGCCAGTTCCCTAATGATTATTTGCCTCATGTTATCCTTGACACTGCATATCAGCAGTTCATAGACTAGATCGCTTGGTCTCAGGACTTCTTATATTGGCTAGAAGTGCTTCTAAGGCGGACCTTTTTAGGCAACAGGTAAGCTTCATACGGCTATGATATGAAATGTTATTGATGAATGTGGGTATTTATTAATGCTTTAAAATGTCATAAAACCCTCCTTTTGTCACTTCTTTCAATTTATATTATGGGTATAAATGGCACTATTCATCATATTGTGAGAAAGTATGATTGCCTCAAGGTTAGCATATATTCCAAACCACTTGATTGAAGGAAAAGACAGAAATCTGGCATACCTAGATCATCTATCACGGAAACCTTCTTGTCTCCAATAATACATCCAAATTGTAACATTGTCACTCTGGCCAATATTGGTATCATCACCAAGACTGCATGTCTGTCTAATGAAATAGCATGATTGCAATTATGATCTTCATCTCTAATATGTTGGTGGCACCACTTGAATGAATGCTAGCAATGATTGTTTTTCAACTCTCGCTGCTCAGTACTTACCGTTCGCAACAAGGCCTTGCCATAAAAATGGCCAGAAATCTTGTTCCTTATGTCGCCTTCATTGATTCCTGCCTGCAAATCTATCACCCAGTAGGCCACTGTAACCATTCGAATTGGATGGGCCGGAACCGTAATCCATTTGTGCTAGCCATTGGGTGATCAACTGATCATTAACCCACCTTAACCATATTTTGTCTGGAGTAAAATTTTATTCTTGAGGTTATTTTTTTCTTTTTGAATATAGAGAAAAAGCATTTGTCTTCAACAGTCAATGTTACTCTTTAGATAAAATCATGCTACAGTAGTAAAAGGGGTGCTCTGTCTTTTTCCTACCATGGATGATCCTTATTGGACAACTAAGCTAGGTGAAGCAACTCCTTAACTTTCATTTGTGCTTTTCTCAAGCGCATATCCTTAATTTAACACGTTGGAATATCCAATATAATGGTCACTATATGCCTAGATATTGCATGCTCGGGGAACATATTGTAATTTAACTTTCTGCATGCTGTATATGGTGGCCTTTTATTCACCCAGTTTGGTGGGTGCTCAATTTTGGTTCTTTGTTGAAGAAGGTACCTTTCTTACCGTCATAAAGTAAGACATGGTTGTTTCAGATTGAATCAGGGATGGTGCAGAAACAGTATATTGCTAAGGTCATTGGCATATTTCCTGAGGATGAGGTATTCCAATGCCTAAGCGTGTGTGATTATGTTTTTGCCTTCAAATATGGTAGTGGACACTTATAGCATCTCTCTCTCTCCCTCCTTTTTCCTTTCTCGCAGTTAATAGGTATTTTGTTTCTCATTTGACCTTTTTTTTTGTCTATTTTTGTTCTACACAGCAAGTTGTGCATGCAAATGTAAATTACAACGCTAGAGAAGGGAGGAGCACAGTGGAGGTAACTATTTCTTTGCAATGCCTGTTTTGGATGATTGTTTTACCTAGAATGTACATGGTTTTGGTAGTGCTAAACTTATGTTAACTTAATGTTTGGCATGTCATGAGATCCTCTTCCTGATGGTATGGCATTGGACCTGAGGTGCTTACTATGTTCTTGTGTCTAAGATAACTACGAGCTTTCAATTTTTAGGAAGCCTCCTTTCCACTACTCGCTTGAAATTCCAGTTTAGGTCTATGTAATGCAGATTAATTTGGAAATGATTCCAATAATAAGACAGATATACTCATAGAATTGTAGAAGTGCTACTGGACATTCCAAAGTACTCATGTCTTTTGACATTGGGGTGTAAGTGGCATATTTCAATCTTTCTTCTAGCTATGTGTGTGTTCTTTAATTATTGCTAGGCTTTTTTTTTGTGCGAATAATGCTACTAGTTAGGTATGTATTCTCAACACCCCTCATCAACGGGGGCTAAATTTGGCGAGTACCTTTTTGTTTTTGTTGTTAAGGTTTACTTGGTCTTATATTTTTTTGTGTTCTAATTCAATTGTTGTTTTTCTATTTTTTTTCTTGGTTTAGCTCTAATTTGGGATTTTAATGGCATAATTTTAGATATTGTTTGATTTTAAGTTTCACCAAATGATTTTCTTAGACAAATAATTAATGGTTTAGGAGACCGTGTCCATTTTGTCTGTAAAGCATATTCGGACTAGAACTTCGTTGTCTGTTCGATTTTTATCTTTGATGTTCTTTCGGGTATTTTTTGTTACTTGAAGTTACCATGCATGGGTATGGGGATGGATAGATATGAAATTAAGTTGTTTCTTGAAATCATCGGCCGATAATGTTATGAGGTGTGAAAATTTGCACTTTTGTGTGCTTGTTATTTAAAGCATGAAAGGTGCAACTTTTTGAACCGATTAATGAACTTTCAAATGTCTTCTCCCTCTCTCCCTTACTACCTATGGGGCCTGTACACATTTATGTTATAATAGTGATGTTTGATCTCAATTCATGTTCAAGTTTGCTATAGAGCTGCATTATCTGTGCCATGCCTGGTGGATTTTGGTGGCACATGCAAATTTAGTTACTATTTTTTCATTTGGGGGGCATGATGAAAGGTCCGTAAAACAGACCTATTATTCAGAAATACTACATACAAATATGCTGCATTTAAATGCAAAAATGACCCAAGGTTCAATTCTTCATATGATTATCAAAACTCCATGTATTTTGCTTCTTTAACATTTCACGTATTGATGAAATTAGTTGATGCAGGATGAGTGACGATAATTTTGGTATTGGAATTGGAACATGATCAATGGGACTGATTTTTTTCTAATGACTATCGATTAGGAAATTTATAGGAGATTTTAATTTATTTTATTCGGTTTCCGAATTTTATTAGGATTCTACTTTCCTAGTTGGTTTGAGGTCTTTATTATTATATAAACTCCAAGTAAGGATCAAAATTTTGTTCGGTGTATTGTTTCGATCATCTAGAAAATGAAAACAATTCGATGTGTTTCAGAAACGTTTCGACTCATTTCGGAAACATAATAAAAAAAATAAAAATTATTTTTTCAAAACAGTAGTCGAAATATATCAAAATATCTTAAAACACCTTTAAACATTCCAAAACAATTGTGCAAATGTATTGAAATATTACAAAATATCTCAAAACATTATGGAATATCTCAGAATATTAGAATTGCAATTACATCATTGATTCGTTTAAGTCTCCTTGAAAATGGAAATGTTTCGCTTATTTTGAAACGAACTTTTGATCATTGCCTGTAAGTTTTAGGGTAAAGTATCTTTTGGTGAATTAATACAATTGAGAGAATTTTCTCTTTTTCTCAATTATTATGGTATTCTTAGGAATTGACAGAACAATTGAAGTCTTTAGGACTGGTATTTTGTGTGAATCAACAAACTTAGAGTAGAATTCTAAACAAGTATTTGTGCACAAATCAACGATTTTGTTTCATTATGTTTTCTAACCCCCTCTTGTTCATAATACACGTGTTTTCACACGTTTACCCGTATTACGCTATTTTCACTATGTCGTCAAGAAAACGACCTATGAAGAGATCCATGCGGCCAAGATAAAGGCAAGGGATGCAAGGGTACAACAGCAGTTCGAGGCGTTAGTCCAACATATGACAACCTTTACTGTCGTTGTTCAACATCAACACATATCTGCATCAACGACCCTAAAATCCATAATTGGTGAAGGAGGTTTGAGTTCTTGATACGAAATTCAAAAACGTATCTTTTGATAACGTTTCATCCTATTTGCAATCCTAAGTTGACTAGGATTTATTTCCAATATTTGATGACTATCTCGAGGATGACTTTTTAATTAGTCTCAAAATGATTTTGATACCTCGATTTACAATGAATATACCAAGGATGATTATCTTATCACTATCAAAGATGGTTCTGATCCCTTGGTAATTGGTAGTCTACTGATCGATTCCAAGGAAGATAACACAACCGAGAAAGATTTTTATAGCGTCAAGGCTGATGTTCATGCCCTCTATCATTTGGAAGATAAGTAGATGAGGCAAGTATTTCTTTCTAATCGTGGTGGAAGTAAATTATACCCTGACCTCATATCTTGATAAGAGTCAATGGGGTCGTATGTTAAGAACACTAATTGTTCTCATCATAGTGGGTGTCCTCAAAAACATTTGTTGTCCCATATTGGTCTGTAGGTGAGAATGACCAAATGAAGTAAGTTTTCCGGTAGATTTCATATTCTTTTGCAAAATTCTTTACCAAGTGCAAGCTCAGTGTTATTTAAGGCATAAAGTGAATCGAAGCGAACCGGTCTCCTGAGGGCCTAGGCAAAAAACGAAGTGAGCGCTTCATTGAAGCAAAGTGAACAATATAAAAAATAAGTAAATATTTTAGTTTCATACGTTGGTTACTCCTGAATATTTAAGTTTTAACTTTACAAATATAAAATATTTAAATGCAATCAAAATAATAAATATCAGCATATTTTAAATAGACAAAATATTAAATATTGAACATTATTGTATTCTAAAAATAATCAATTGACGTAATCACGTCATCTAAATGTAAAATTAACAAATGTGGGTTCGACTTTCACCGTGATTGATTAATATCACCACTAAACATAGCACTCACAAATTGATTAATCAAATTAATAGAGTATATAGCAAATTGATTAATCAATTTGATTAACCAAGCAAATTGATTAACAAGAGCATTTACATCAAAACAAAGCATTCAACATTATCTAATCATAATAAGACAGATTGTCATATGATATTGTTACACGAATTAATCAATTTATTTTATACATATACACATATAACATCATCTCTGCTAAGGTTTGGTTAATGTTAAAGGATGAGGAGAATAAAAGAATTGCAGTTAGGCGTTCGCTTTTCTCGCCTGACTCGCTTTTTGGCTTCATCGCCTAAGTTCGTTTTTTCCTCGCTTTACTGAACCTCACTTTGCCTTGGATGTTCAAGGCGACAAAGGCTCGCTTCGCTTCGCTTCGCTTCTTGCCTAGGCGCTTGCCTAGGCTCGCTTTTCACAACACTGTGCAAACGAACCTATAAGGATGGGATCTTGATTCAAGAAGCTACAACCAAAGTCAAATTATTTGGGTTAATTATAGTGGTGGTGATAGTTGGTACTGTTAGTAGTATGTTCTAAGACCAATCATATAAATAATATTTTGGGACTGTACTAGCAACATTCATTACTTAAATAAAATGGCAAGTTTATTTATCATGTTTCTAATTTATTTCATTTTAATATGCATGATATAGTCCATAGAGTATAAGTTAAGAAGATAGATTCTCAAGGACTTGAGAAGAGGAGACATATAATTCTTAGTACTTAATTCTTTAATGTTCTTAGTTATTGGATTACTATGTGGGTATTATATAATCTGGATAGATTAGCATATACTATGTTTACTCATATTTGATATGAGGTGACTCGTCCAAGTCAGAGTAGTATAGGGACACTGAAGCAAGTGTATGAGTGCTTGTTAGAGTGACCATTGACTAACGTAGGATTTTTCATATGGAGTTTTACATGCTTGTCAATATTGAATCCTAAAGTTATAGTTATGCAATTGATCCTTAAATTTGAGACACCATAGTTATCTTGTGCATGGACTTCTATGCTTTAACTATACAACATATTCATGTGCTAACCATGTAATTTGGATATGTATTGTTGGACATAGTTAGACATGCATAAAGATTTATGAGTGCACAACATGATATCTATCACCCTTAGTAAATAAAGGGAGAATGTCCTATATGATCTTCTAGGATATGACTCAAAGAGTCTTTGACCAAGGCAGAATAACAATTAGAAAAGAGTTTCTAATTGATCATTAAGAGTCATAGTCCTAAGATCGAACACATGAGATTGAATTAGGGGTTTGACATTAATTCCATACCTTAGTAATTCAATTGGGGCATTATTTGATTTTAATTTATTTGATTAAAATAATATTCAATGGAATTAATAATCAATGGGATTTTTTAATCCCATACCTTAGTCAATGGGATTAAAATCAAATAATCAATGGAATTAATAATCAATGAGATTTTTTAAAATTCCATACCTTAGGAAATTTTAGGAGATTTTAATTTATTTGATTTTTTATATTAACTAGGATTTTATTTTACTTGATTTTCGAATTTAAGTAAGATTCTACTTTCCTAGTTGGTTTGGGGTTTTTGTTATTATGTAAACTCATTAAGCCTTAGGGTAAAGTAGTTTTTGGTGAATTAATACAATTGGGAGAGTTTTCTCTTTTTCCCAATTATTCTAGTATTTTTAAGAACCAATAGAGCAATTGAAGCTTTTAGGACTGGTATTTTGTTTTTTTTTTTGGATCAAGACTGGTATTTTGTTTGAATCAACAAATCTTGAGTAGGATTCTAAACTGGTATTTGTGCGCAAATCAATTGTTTAGTTTTATTCTGTTTTCCTACCCCCTCTTGTCCGTAATATCCATATTTTTACACCCTTCCCTGTGTCATTAGTGCTCTTTGCCTACTTGCTGGGTGCCATATTATATTATCCACTGCTACGTGGTTTCCCCGAGGTAGATGAAGCAGTTTACTGGATTCAGGTGCATTATGTTGTTTATTCAGGTGGGGGAGGTTTGCAAGAACAGCAATACTCTGCTGAAGGGAAAGGCTGCTTGTACAAAATTTACAAGAATTTGTACGGATGGGACTCATAGTGTCGTTTTATGCAAACCAATCACCGGAAGGACACATCAAGTAAGAAAAAATTCCAGGTTTTTTGGACTGTTTGTCAGTTTGTCGCTTTCATGAAAAACAATTATTGGCTGCTTCTGTTTCCTTTCCTTTTCCAGCACTCTTGTTACTTTATCTTCCATGAGCTTTAATATATGTGTATACTGCCATTTATATTTGTATTCATCTTCATTGTTGCATTCTTGACCTGACTTGCTAACCTTCAACCATTTTCTTGAAAAGCTGTGCCAAATTTTCTCTTCGTAACTCAGCAATACTCTTATATTTACGTAAGAACCAATGTGTAACTTTCATTTGTGTTGTTCAACCTGAAGCTCTAATATTGGGTGATTTGGCAGTGCTCCACCTTTTAAATGATTCAATGCCTGTAATTTTGGATGTCTGATAAGCCAGATTCATCAATTTTTTCATCTCTTTCTCATAGATACGTGTCCATCTGCAATATGCGGGTCATCCCATAGCCAACGACATGCTCTACCTCTCCGAATTTGTTTCTGATCGTTCTACTGAAGGAATGAGTGCTGATAGAGCTGCAGCTAATTTTGGCCCCTCTCGAAAATCCAATTCTCATAGAGATTGTATTGATGAATCTGCAGGGAAGTCCAGTGAAGATTTCAGCTTTGATCCTATGTGTACTAATTGTCCAGATTTGGCTCCCAAAGGGTAAGCAATTTTTCTCAGTGTGATTTCTTGTGGAATATAGAAATCAGTTCTGAGTTGGATATTTTCTAGCCTTCCAGGTTTCTGTGCAATGGAATAGAGTGTGTACTCATTCTTTGTTGTTAATAATGTATATGATAAAACATCACAAAATAAACTTAAGCTTCAATGCTATTGGTAATCCAGATGATATTAGTGAAAAATAATGTTTTCCCCACTGTAATTGGTTTTACGGCTGTCTTTTCTGGAAGCTTGATTAACAAAGATAAAAGGAAATAAGATTGTGGAAATGTAGTTTTATCATGACCTGGATGCCCTTGAAAAGCTTCAGAGAGACAAAAGAAAGAGATTCCAATGGTTCTATCAATATTATACCACCATAAACAATGTCTATAGTGGTATAATATGCCATGTTTCAGAAGAGAGTTCAGCATAGATTTAGATACAGTGACTTGATGAAAGAGATGTCCGAGAGTTGGCACTGTGGTAGGTTGGAGCAGGACAAATATGTGAAGTTCATGGAGCAATAGCTCTAGAAATATTTGATAGTTGCAGTCATACAATACCACTATCAGCCACTTGAAATTCTTTGAAATCGAGGTTTGAGTAATTATGTGCTTATGATTTAACAAAAAAGATAGCTTTAAACATGTCTTCTGTGCTGGTTTGAGTGGATTCAACGTAGAGGAGTTGCTGAATATGAATTGAAGTTCAGTTTGCGCTTGAACTTTTCATTATTGTTTGATGATGCAGATATGATGGACATGAAGAGGGTCTGTGGCTGCATTGTGTTCGATATACTGGACCAGGCTGGATTTATGAATGCCCATATCCAGATTGGGCATTACTTGGCTAGTTCCTTGTCATATTTCCGTCTCTCTCTCTCTCGCTTGTCATATTTCCGTCTCTCTCTAATGTTCTTTCTATTTAAAAGAAAGAACATAACAAGTCAGTGGTTACTCAATGGTTCAGTGGGATTGGGGGTTCTGCACCTGTGCAGTTGCTGTTATATATTTCAGGAGGGCTTGTATTTTGTTCTCCTATTTTAGACTACAAAAAATGAAGAATATTTGCTCAAAACAGCTGATAGACTGACTAGAGAGAAAACTGAGCAGTTATATTGGCATAATTTGTTTCACAGCAAATATTATAGTGTTACTTCCAAGAAGAGGCGATGAGTGTCGGCAAGTGATGGAGGTCAAACTGGAAGCAGATGTTTCTAAAGGGTGGTGAGTACAGGTGGTCTGGATATAATATTATCTTGGTTGGGCGATGGTGCCCTGCTGCATCTTTGTATAATCATGGTTTGTACTGGAAATTCAGTATATGAAGGGACATTAATGGAGGCTTGAGCCTGGAATTGATAGTACCCTGGAAATATATTCGAGGGGGGGGGGGGGGGGGGGGGGGCCGAGCGCGAGCTTCGTCCAGAGCTTGACCAGGGGATGGTTGAGTGCGCAAGAAAGAAACTAAAGCAAGAACCAGACCGATCTACCAATCAAATCAGTGAAAAACGCTCTCCATTTTCACTTGGCTTGAAGGCTTACACAAACCAAATCAGTGGAAAAAAAGAATTTCGACAGGACTGAAAGCACCAAGTCGGAAAGAAAGAAGCAAGTGTCGTGTGCGAGTGTGGCTTTCAAGCTTGTCTCCCCGTTGCCTTAAGCCTGGAGACCGGGGGTGCTTAGGACCAGAGGTGCTTGCAGACCGGAGGTCGCGGCAGCTTGCTTGCTAAGGTACGAACTAGTGCTGGTAAATAAACGAACCTGTGAATTCTCGCGGCAGGCGTTTTCGAGGTCTTTGGTCTAGTGAAAGCCTTCCTTCGAAACCAAGTCGTAGTGACGAAAGGAAGGCAGACGCGCAGGTCAGATCAGCCCGCCGCTTCTTTATCTCGTAGTTCCACTTTCAGATCGTGGAGCAACACCAAAAGGAGTGAGCTTTTAGGGTTAGGAAGCGAGAAGAAGAGTGAAGGTCGCCCCTATTAAGTAAGTTCAAAGAATGGCTTGAGTGAAAGCTGGAGTGGCACAAGACAGATTGAAAGCAAAGGGAAGGGAGGCGCTACTTAGCCCTGTCCTTCCTAACCTTCCGAGAGCCTTCCTGACTGGCATTTCAACTGGGCTTGACTAAAGGGGGTTGCCCGGTTCTGATCCTCATTGTACTCGTCTCAAGCTATTAAACAGGCAAAAAGGGGAACAGAGGTCTCCTGAATTATTTTGAGCGAAGAACGGCGATTCCTCAAAGAGAAACCTCCTGACGAAGGTTTCCTCAACACCCTTTCTGCCCATGAATGGAGTTTCACTCGCTACTGGAAAGGCGGAATCACAACATCCAAGCTTTTGTCTGTCAACTCGCCTCTGACTCTGAGCTTGGTCCCTTCCCTTTCCACCCGGTTTTGACGAACCCATTCTTCCCACGCAAATCATGAGGATTGCTTTTTTTTTTCTACGATGATTCAGCTCCCGAACCTGCAAGTTTCTACGCTGAAAAGACAGGTCAACGCTAATTCATGGAGTAAATAGGGAAGGTAGAAAGGCAAAGATTTGTGAAAGGCCAGACAGGTTGTATTGGGGTGGATTAGCTTCCGGAGAAAGAGCAAGGAGCTTACTTACCTAAGAGCTAAAAGGGCAGGGTTGGGAAGGAAGGAGATACAGCTTGAGCTTGAGCGTGGAGCTTGTCTTCTTGACAGGCCTACTTTTCTTTGTTCAACTGGGCTTGTTCGCTTGACGGGTCCTGGTCACTGCTAGTTAGCCCCACGAGACTTGGATAAGATTTTTCAAATTGTCTTTCTCCGATTTCTTCTTCCTCCTCCTTGGTGCTCTTTCCAAACGCTCCTTTAACGGCTTCGTTCGACTTACTTAGACAGATAGAAAGCGGCAGGCGAACTCCGACTTGTTAACAAAAAGCTTTCTCCGACTTCAAAGTTGGATCGACTGGAATTATAAGCTATATGGGGGGCTTGGCTGGTGGACTAGATAGGGACAGGAAAGTGAAAGGACATTAAAAAGAGCCTGAATCCGGTGTGAGGCCTGTGCTTCTTTCTATGTCTATGGAGAGCATGAAAGGCCCTAACAGGGAGCTCCTATGCAAGTTTCGCAGGAAATTGTAGCGAAGGCAAAGCTACTTCAGTAGCTTTGTGCAAGTTGAGTAAGCGATAGCTCACGCAAACGCTATTGAAAGTGAAGTTCAGTAGCCTTTTGATTTTCTTTGATTTTCTTTGATTTTATAGGGATCAACTATATCCACTTTAAGTCGGTCTTACTCGGGTGAATTTCTACGCTTATCTCATCTGCTAGCTCGCCTTCTTCTTTAACTAGAACTAGTCTTTAGCATTCATCTTTCTATGAACGAACTGTGGCATTAACATGGCATTAACAAAGCATCAAGGGAGACCTTTCCTAGTGCTAATCTAATCACATTTCTTTCGCTCTTTCTGGCTCCCGTGAGCACTTTTTTTTTTCAATTTATTTCGATCGGACTTATCCGGGTTCTAATTAATAAGTAGATTGCCGGGTGGTGAGCCCGAGCGAAGCGACCAGTAATTCTGTCTATGTTTTGTTTGCTGATCCCGGGGTCTCCGGAGGGGAAAGATTCTATCCAGAAGGCGGGACCCTGAAATAAATTTGACTAAGTGATCAAATTGTAACCAATGAGGTGATACTTAGCCTGACTCGGAGCGAGCGCCCCTCTCCCTCTGGGGTTATTGATGAACAGAAACATATCCTGCCCGCATCACTTTCATCTTGCCCTTTCACTCGCATGCTTCCTAGCCGTAGCTGTCAGCTGACTCGCTCCGTACATTCTGCTCTCGCTCTCTCTGGGGATTATTCTCTTCCAGCCCTTGCCACCTCTACTTCTCTAAGAGCAACGCGGAATGTCGAGTGTGAAATTTGATCATGATTGGGTTGGTCTTTCTTTTATGGAAAGGGTATACTCCTCATTGGGGTCCCTGCTCACCTCTGATCCGTCTGTTAGCTCCAGACCAGAATCAACCTCTGCAATCTCTGCAACTGGAGGAGAGTCATTTTATTCCACATCCTCATCCAGTTACTCGGGTTTATTCTCCTTTGGACCAAAGACCCGGGGTAAGACGTAGTTTACACCTATTCCATATTCTTGCTTTTCTTCTTTTCAATCCGAAGCATACGTTCTCCTGAAACACCGGTCATTTATCCTTAGACAAGGGTGCATTCTTGCGTTCACCTGTCTCGCTTTTGGGTACGGTCAATTCCTTACCTTACCTTACCTTACCTTACCTTACCTTACCTTACCTTACCTTACCTTAC